TGGGAAAAGCGCCCAGATCTTCAGTAAGTATGACCTCAGGCCTTTCAGGCTTTTATGAGACTTAGAACATATCTGTATCTATAATTTTTACCACCAGTCATAATTTATGGGATTAAGGTCTGTAGATGTTGAGGGTCGTTCCATCGACGTAATAAATTCATAAAAATTCGACCGAAGTCAGTTTTGGACAATTTTTGCACTATTCTCATTAGCAGAGCATTATTGAAAGTCAAATGCTATTTTTCGAATAGTTCATGGTCCAGGGGTTTAACCATTGGCTCAGGAGCATTCTGAAAATAATTTTTGGCCTGAATTTTTACTCCTTCCGGTGAAAAACAGGGATTTCCTTTCTCCAGCCAACTCGCTCCCTTTCACACCATATTGGTGACTTCTTATTTATCCGCGTACCTAAAGGGATTTCAGACGTCCGTAGAGCAAATATCTGTCAAATCAAGGGATCCTCACTTAAGGTATCCATTCTGAAAGGCATGAACACTTTCCCATGAAAAAGGTGCGTGCCAGGACCGATCAGCCGCCGTCCCGACTTATGTCTTCCGTATGAGCCCCTGGAGGAAATCTTGAAAAACAAGTTATGATTTTTAAACCATATTAGTACCTTGTTCGTCCATAAAAAATTCTAACCGATAGCTCTAATATTTTTGGATTTATCACGAGAAATGCTTGTGCGGGGACTTCTGAATGGACTATCTATACTTAATTTTGTAATCATTTCAATGAATTGTATTATTTAGTTATTTACACTTACCCCGCCCACGGAACAATCTTGAACGCTTTGCTGACTGGTACTGGCACCAAGATCCCCTTAATTCAATAAAAAAAAATCTACAATATTTAGTTAATTATTGTTCAGAGCTGGGATAATCCTGATTAAGGATTATAGATTATAATCCTGGATTATGGATTATTAATCCATAATCCCTAATCCGGCAATGAGAGTTTTTGTAGATTAATCCCAATCCATAATCCCGATTTTTCTAGAATTAGAATTTATCCGGGAATAATCCCACTAGATGTCATTAATCCATAATCGTGATTACGGATTACTAATCCTGAATAGTCCCAATCATGATTACTAATCATGATTACGTATTCAGGATTAGCTTTCAGTCTGGATTACTCGGTTCAATTCCCATAGTTCCATTTCATCCCACTGTGTAGCTTGAAGTCTTAAGTTCTCACAACTTTGTCCTTTTGAACTTAGCTTCCATTTGAAGAGTAAACATGTTCTCGCTGCCTTGTGCTACATATATCAATTGAAACTGGCGTTTTAAATATTTTATGTGAAACCACATAGTTGAAATTTGTTGCGCAAGATGTAGCGTAAAATCATTAATCACCAAATTAATCCGGATTATTAATCCATAATCCATAATCCTGAAATTCACAGAATTTATGGATTAATCCTGACATGAATTAATCTCACGAAAATAATTTAATCACAATCCACATTATTTTGTGGTTATTCCGTAATCCATAATCCACCCTCAAAAACCAATAATCACCCAGCTCTAGTCCCGTTACATAAATAATTTAGCAAAGATATTTAGAATTTCACTCTTATGGTTCATTAAAGTATTTAAATTACTGAAGTTTCTCCCTCTGGCCGTCCCGTATTATTTGAATCGTTGTACCGCTGATGCATCCGAATAGCCCATCGAGCTCGAAGAGCATGATCATCTAACCCCCCTGATTTACATAATATACATCCAATTATATTTTGAAATTTTAATAGAAACTTTCTCCAATTGAATTACCATCGTGTCCGAAACTGGTGGGGGAAGAACTGCTTGTCCTTCTTCTGACGCCGTCGTGCTGCCCAGCGGACATCCGTCCCGAATCCCTAAACGTTCCGCTTTCTCGTTCAGCTCGGCCAGGCGTTTTAACCGAGCGGCATTCCTGGTCGCCGTGGATGCCGCCTTGTACCGAGTTTGGTGTCTTTGTACGGCAGCAATTCGGCCTTCTTCGCTTCCTTGCGAATCAGTGGGGTACATTTTATTGCAAAATTTGGAAATATTCGCGTATTGAATTAAGTTATGGAATATTTGACAATTAAAGTTAATGGAATGCAGAGGAAAACCAGACCAAGCGTTCCATAAAAGCATTTTCCATATTTCGCAAGAGAAAGTGTTAAACTCGGGTTCTGGTGGGTAGGGGTTCCAGTCCCGGGATTTTATTCCCGGGAATTCCCGGGAAACGGGATCCCGAAATCCCGGGATTTGAAGAACTGAAATCCCGGGATTTCGGGATTTTTCAATTTGTCATTTAGAAGTGAAATTGCTTATAATTTACAATTTTAATAGTTGTTGTATATAATTTTCGGTTATATGATTGGTAAGAAAAAGTTTCGATGAGCATAACCAGTCAAAATTGATCCTGAACTCTAAAATTTAAATCTATATTATAAGCTGGAAATGTCTGTTGGCAACGGAAGTGAAAGTAAATGTTCCGCAACGGAAGTGAAAGCAAATGTTCCGCAACGGAAGTGAAAGTAGAGAAAGTTAAGTTTCGAATGGCGCGAAAATTCAAAAATCTTAATTTAAAAAATTAATGTGAGGTCATTGGGTCATTATTGTTCGATGGTGGTTATCAGAATGTTGCAGCCTGGTGGTGGTTATAAGTTGCCTAATGATATGCGGTTATCGGGGTGTGGCGGCGTGATGGTGGTTATCGAAGCGTTGCGGCCTAATGGTGGTTATCGGGTTGTTGCACCTGATGGTGGTTATTGCGGGGTTTCTGCACATTGATGGCACTTCTGGTGGTTATCTGGAGAGGTTATCTTATTCCGTTGCCATTGCCAATGCCCTTGCAGTGCTTCAGGTAGCCTGTGTGTGGGGACTAGATCACTGCCGCGTTTCCTGCCACTGGCAATGGCAATGCCCATGGCAGACTAGCCTGGCAAAGATGACTGAGCCAAGCGAAGTGCCAGAGAAATTGCCAATGGCAATAACAGTACCACTGGCAGACCGGCCTGACAGAGATGACTGAGCCAAGTGGGTGGCATTCAGGCCCGGTACTCTTTATAGCCATGTACTGTTTTTACACCAGAATTGATTAATGTCAAGTTATACGGTAATATTTGAATTTCGGGAAAAAATCCCGGGATTTGTCATGGCTAAAACCGGGATTCCCGATTCCCGGGATTTAAAAAATCGTCCGGGATTGGAATCACTACTGGTGGGTATCCCGCACCATCGCGCGTCAGTGGCGTATCCTTCGCACCTTGTCGCGCTCACTCAATCATGCGCTTCGTTTAATTATCTACACTGGGTTACTTAAATGTTTTTTTATCAAAATACAAAAAACTTAAATGTTGGTATATCATTAGCCCTCGTTTGTTACGACCCTCCCTCAGAAACTTTGACCCAAAAAATCTCATGGTCCCAGCGTTTCCCTTCGGGCAACAAAAGCTGAAAATGTAGCTCTTCCCAAGTAGAAAAATCTGACCTTTGGTTGCCCGAAGGGAAACGCTGGGACCATGAGATTTTTAAAGATTTATGTGTACGTCAAAAAACCGCCAATTTTCGAATTTTGAAACTCTTGATGCATCAAAATGTTCGTATTCAAGGGGGAAGTCAAATTGCAAATGCAAGTATAGGTCTAACTCTTGTCCTACAGGATGTACATTGGCTTTCTCATTTTTTCCAATTTTCTTCCTATATTTTTATAGGGGGTGTGGTTGCACATAATTTAAAAAATGGTATATTACATGTGTCCTTGTATCCACAATATCATTTGCAATGTTTTGTATTTAATTCGATGAAATCGACGCGAAAGGGTATGGAACATATCGGTCATTTTACCTCTGCAGGGGAAGAATGGAGAAAATCCAGAAGATTCAGATTTTCCAGTAAAATCTGGTCAAATTTAAGTGACAAGTTGTTATTTACAAAAATGAAATCATGGGTCTGATTGGACAAGGTTGGCAAGTTTGCGACTAAACGATCCAATCGAATTTATCCTTCCTGGTAAAACTACTTTCTTTTCTAAATCAGCTATTTACAGGGTCAACCTTCTCCTAAAAGTTGTGAAGTATCGCTGGAAACCTCATCATTAAGTTAATGCCATTAAGGTACTGTGCATATGCATGTAAGGTCGAGACGTAGAGGGTGTGATGGGAATTTTGGGTCAGAATTTCTGATCCCGTAAATTCATATGTGCTGCACACTATTATTTGTGGATATGAATATTCTGGATTAAATCCTTTAACCCAAATTCTCTCATACGGATCACATGCATAATGTACGGCCATTAATGTATGTACTGTGGGATTTTTGGTAGTTGTTGTACGCGAAAGAGAGCAAAAATATGTTTAGAAGAGGTGGTACGAGGAATCGAACCTCGTGTCTTTCTCATGCCGGGAGAACACCTTACCACTGGGCTAACCGCCCTTCTTCACATCTATTGCTCTCTTTTACAACCACCAAATTCCACTTATTCTCTCCTACAGTACGCCACATTAAAAACTTGTGTTTGCATATTTATGTGTACATATGTACATAAGTCTATATATGCATACATAAATATACATATGTACATACATCGCTAAGTAAAAATTAGTTACAATGCCGGTCGTCAAATCCTTCAAGTTGTGTAGGGCCCTGCACCATTTGTTGTGACGGATTTTAGGAAAACATCATATCCTTCAGATGTAATTAATCGCAATATTTCTGTACATGTGTATCTCGAGGCAATGCGGGTAAAAAACGCTTGTAAAATACCTGTGGAAATAGCTCCTATTCTTTATGCGTGCTCCTAATGTGCAAAGTATTGTAAACATTACACACTAAACATGAACCTTTTTTTAACCATTTACCTGTGCACTGCGTATGCCTGTATGTATAAGCTGACAGAGGAACCCTTGATTTTGAAATGCCTTTGTCCCTAAATCCAGGATTCTGTACCAAACAACGTTATTCGATACGTGTTCTTATTTTAGAGCGTCCACATTCATATATGCGTAATGCTAAATTTATGTCTGATTGTAAATGTTCTTTAACACGACTAAAAAGTTTAACTTACAAACAACCGTCACACATTGAACTCATTTCCTTCCGAGTTTACGAAGAAAGAAAAAAACACTGAAAATCTGCAAGAAATCATAAATAACCATGTAAATTTTTAAATTACTAATTATACACATTTTGTGACACGTAAAAATGTAACTCTCATCTAAAAATTTGTTATCGTTTTCATAGACACTGCCAAAAATGGATCCTCTCCCCATCAAATCTGACGACAAACCTGACCAACTATCCCCCACCGATCCCACCCCCTCCCGCACCCTCCAAGTCTCCCACCCCACCTCCACCCCCGCCCAAATCTCCCTCGCGTCCGCCATCCTCTCCGGAAAGGACGACCTTGCCCGCGCCCTCTACGCCAGAACATACGCCAAGATCTCCACTGCCACCTACGACTGGGCCGTCATCGTTCTCATGCTCCTGCTCGGGCTAACCTCTGACCTCGTCGCGTCCTACACCAACCCCAACTCCACCGCCGAATTGGACACGGTCTTTGTCGGTATCGCTTCCTCCCTGATCATTCTCGTGTCCCATGTTGACGCCTGGTTTAAGCATCACTACATCGGCGCAGACGCCGCGATCGGGGTCGTATTTGGGGTGCACAGGCTCATCCTGTCTATCCGGACGGGGTGGGCGTGGGCCGGTTCCGTTTCCGGTTCCGAGGGGATTGTCCTGCCCGAGTGGATGTTCCAGATTTACACACTCGTCATGATTTTTATTGGGGAAAACCACGTCAGCACGGCGACAGCGGTCATTTTGTATGTAAATTTGGCGTTGTACTGTATCATTTTGGGGTTTCGGTATCCCCTCGTTACCATGGCGATTGTTTTAGCGAAGGTGCGCGGGGGGCGGGAAGGTATGAACAAGTTGGATGAGTTTGTGAGAAGATGGAAGAATTGGGTGGCGGCAGGATTTGCGGTGTTTCTGGGGGTAGTTTTTGTGTATGTGGAGGTTAAAGAGAATTCCGAGGGCGTGGGAGTGTTACAGGAGAAAATGGAAGAGTGGAAGCCTTGCTTGAAATTGGGGACAGGTTTTATGATTTTGTGGGGTCTTTTAGTCGGGACGGTGGGGATTGTTTGTTGGGGTGCGGTAAATTTGTGGGGGTTATGTGTATATTTGAGGGGTCGGTGTATTAGGGAAAGAATTGTTTGATAAAAAGATGGGCTTATGCGCCAGATATTTTTAAATTTTTACATTTTATGGAAAATGGGAATTCCCATAATATCGTAAGTTTATTAACAACGGAAGGGAATAATTATTCGATAATTTCTAACTTATAAAAATAAAATTCTCATAACTTTTAAAAAATTTGCAATATTTAGTGAATGGACGATATGATTTTCATTACAAAAAATTGTAACGCATGTATTTAAGACATACATTTCTAGTAACGTAATTCATAAGTTTATAAAAATAATAAAACCCTTGAAACACAATTAATAATATTTCCATATTTGCATACATACATACACTTAAATCATATGCTTAAATTATTGCATATTGTTAACATATGTGTATTTTATCACCAATTCATATCATATCAGAATACTGGTCAATTTATATCGCATACTTATCAATTTATTATTTGCATACATATGCATTTACTCACCAGGTTTGCAGTTATTTTTTTACATTAATTCCTAAACTAATAATTTGGTAAAAATTATACTTTAATTTTGTGCATCGTTTAAAGTGCATCAAAACGTTTAAAATAAGCTTTTAAATTATGATTACGTTGATTTTGAACGCCCGCAAATTCATAATTCCAAATTATAAACAAAAATAAAAAATAGCCCACAAATTTTGAGTTATTTTATGTACAAGTTTTTTTGTCTTATTAATAATCACTTCAGCTAGTATTTTAATTAAGAATAAATAAATTTTGAACAAAAAAACGTTTCATTTTTCCATGCAAACGTCTCATTCTCATGAAAACAGCCATTGAAAACTGGACACAAAAACTGGGCAAACTTTTCAACGAGACCTCTTCACGTATGAGTATGTAACACACTTTCTCCTTGTCCAGTCATCTGGTCCGTGTGAATTTAACGGAGAACATTTTTACGTAACAAATTTTTAAATTATCGTGTCAGAAACTTTCAAAAACTTCGTAGTTTTAAAGTTAAGCATCCTATTACGAAACTTGCATGATTTTTTATTACGTATGTAACTTTAGTATAATAATTTGGCTACGGTTAAAAAACGTGGTGTTTTTAAAATATTTCGATCACAAATTTACGTGAAACACAATTAAAATCATTTTTAAACATAAATATTTAATTAAAATAGAGTTTTAAACTACAAACTAATAATAATCATGACGGCTTCAATTATTATGAAACTCGAGTTGAGCAACCAACTCGAACTGTTACACAATCATCTTATCGAGACGTTCCAAGTTATTCAAGATTTCCTGGAAATTGAAGATGGTAACATACATTTTTTTAAAATTTAAATAATTAAAATGTAGGTTTTAATTCGCATGGATTTTTGCAACGGTGCGAAATGTGCAATATTATTTAATATGATGTATACAGTATACACATGTGCATAGACACGTGTCACGTGGTTGGTTATAGAATCATGCAAACATTCCAAATCCGGTTACAAATTTTATCCAAATTTTTCCAGCTTATTTAAAGTAACAAAATTTATTTACAGAGTTACACAAATTCACGTTAATTAATCTTCTCTAACATACATACATGTAACATTCATAATAGACACGTGGGTACAAAATCATGAACAAAATTCCAACCCAGGGTACAAATTTGGTGCATACTTTGAAAGTATTACTTTCCCACCTTATGTAAACGTTTCTCACCAAAGTTACAGGGTTACACAAATTCTCGTCAATTAATCTTTGTGTAAAATATGTGTAATTCATATACACGTGGGTACATACAGAATCATGCAAAGATTCCAAACCTGGTTACTCATTTCTCCGGCTTGTTTTACCTTTTTAAACGCTTGTACTGTAATAAAATTTATGTACAGCGTTACAAAACGTGACGTTAATTAATCTTCTCATTTATCAAATACTTAATTATTCCTAAAAATTCTTAATTAATTTTTGCAGGAGTTGGACCAGATTCCAGCGAGAATTTAAATTTGAAACAAACCTTATACAAATTTGTGACTCAAATGTCCTCCTTCACCTCGAACGTGACAAGTCTAAAGGTCAAATTGAACAAGTACCAAGAAGATGACGGGGATCCCAAGGGTTATCACAACGACGTTGTTATTAACGGATCCCCGTCACCGTCTACTTCTTATCACGACGACGCCATCGAGAACGATAAGAACACGGTGGTCAGAGTGAACAAGTATCAAGAAACTTGGGGTCACGCTGAGAAGACGGAGGTCAAGGTGAAGAAGTACCAAGCACACGGAGGTCATGACGACGACGACGTTATCAAGACGGATAAAAACACGCCGCAGCAGGACAACCTTATCGAGGAAGATAAGACAAAAAACGGTTACAAGTTTCCACCCGGGTGTAAAATAAAAACGGAAGAGCTCGAAGTGGAGGAAGTCGTGGTATCGGACGAGGAGGACGCAGACGAAGAATGCGAAGAAGAGGAGGAAGACCTCCTTCCGTATGAAATGGAGGAAGTAGAAACATTTCCGGTCGGCGAAGAAGGATATGAAGAAGAGGACGATTTCGATTTCAATTATGATGAATGTAAGTTAACGCAATTTGCATATATAGAAGAAATTCATGCTGGCCTTTTGGTAACTTTGTAAAATCCGTGACTTTTATAAACTTACAAATCCAATTTTCCAGGAAAATTAATTTTTGCGAACTTAAGTTCTCAGATGGGCGTCTCTTTATTTTTTTAGAATTTGGTAAAATTATTTTACAAAACGCACAGATTTTATGTACAAGTTATCAATGACTGCGTGAATTGTGTCATTAATAATTTGGTCATTTTGTGTAAGCTGCGTGCATATTTTTTTTACTAACTTTTGTAAAATATGCCGACTCTAATCTTTGCAAGTTTTTGTACATTTTATAATCAAAATACTTTCCTGGTAAAAAAATGTGATTTTTTTCTTAAATTTTAGATCCAGAAGGAACTTCGCCCCCAGAATATGAATATAAATATGACATGCATCCTGTCCAATTTGAGTATTCTACACCTCCGAATTTACCTACTGAAAGAAAATCTTCCTCCAGGAAGCAAATCATTGGTCTCAGAAATATTGACGAAACCCCCATCATTCAGGAAACTAAACCTGTCAAGGTTCATATTTTACGAACACAATTACAATCAAATCATTAATTCACTAGTTAATGCAGGACTCGTCACCAAAATTAGAACATTTTTAATCATTTCTCCGGGAACTTATTTTAAAATTCTGCACGACAAATTTGTAGAGCAGGTCGTTGGAAATTTAAAAAAAAGATACACTCCAAATTTTTACACTTTTTTAAGTCTAACGAGTCTTCGGAAAAATCGGAAGTTATCGTAACTCGCTTATCTTAATTAAAAAACTCTTCCTCTTCTATTAACCAACTTACTAGTCAAATTTATCACTTCAAAACGTATCAAACGCCATAAAAATGACCACAATTTTTTCGAATCTCCAAAAACTAATCTTTAATTGTTTTCAAAAATATTGCGACAAATTTCTCATCTCGCTTTTCCACTCCGTGTAATCCAATTTTTATACAAATTGGTCTTCCAGAATTTTAAAATAAGTTCCCAGAGCCGAGAAATAATTAAAAATGTGTGACGATTTTAACGAATTTATTGATGAGGCGTCGAGTCCTACATTAAAGTTAATTATGTAAATTTTGTGGCGCAGATTAACATGCGAACCAGAACGCCCATGTGGAACGGGAAACCCGTGTCGTTATCGACCCTGCGCGTAATGCGGTTTCGCAGCAGGATGACTGAAGAGCAGAAAATGGAGCAGAGGAGGAAGGATCGCGAGAGAGTGGCGCGGAAGAGGGCGGCCCTGCGCGCGGCGCGTGCCCTCCAACAAGGCGACACCAACGGGAACAGTAACTCTTCGGAGAGCTACGAAAGTCTGTGCATCATTAAAAAGAAGGAGGATTCGCCATAATGGAACTGATACGAAATTGTATTTTATCATATTATTGTGTTGAAACGGTACAATGTATTTTTTAAAAGCATGTTCTTCATTGGTATGAATTTTATTTAAACTGAAATAAAAACGATTTTATGTTTTATTTACGTGTCTGAAATGAAATTTTGTGGGGAGAGAATGAGTGATTTTTAAATTTATGCAGTGGTTTTATTTAAGCAAAATAAAATGCTTTTTATAATACAGTTACATAAATTAAGTATTATTTAACCTATTTCAATATGTATTACAGGGCTTTCTAATTATCCACTTTTCTAATTAAGTATCAATTAGTAATTAGTTCCGAAAATTTTGATCTAATTAATTGTTTAATTAGTAATTACTTCTGAACAAGCAATCTAATTAATTTTTAATTAGCTAATTAATTACTTCTAATTACTGAATAATTAAGTTTACTATATTCATAATTTTTTATGAATTAATTTTTCATTTAAGCATGACTGATGCCTCGAATAAGTCGTCTTTCAGCGAATGTAAAATGTCGAATTATTTTAAAATTTAAAACAAATTACGCACTACCTCGAGATGGCTGTGGAAATTAGAGATGACCGTAGTTGTGCCGGTAATCGCTTTATTTGGACAAAATTTACAAGCATTCGTTACTTTGTCGCTGTCAACGTTTTCAAAAGTATACCATCCATTCACATTATCAAGTTTTTAACGTTCTGCGCAAGGAAGTCCATTATATTCAAAGATATATCAAAAAAATATAACAATTTCGTTGTTTTAATACAAAGGTTTAAAGTTGCAACTACAAGCGTAAAAAAAGCTTTGAAGTTGATAAAACACCCATGGTATATATGCTGCCGCGAAGAAAATTTTTTAAGCGCTAAACGACAAATATGCGTTAAAAAATTAATTTTGTTAAAAAAAAAACAAATTAATTAGTAATTGGTTTGTCGATCATTTTAATTAATTAGTAATTTTAATTAGGTAGTATTCGACAAATTAACTTTAATTTGTAATTAGTAATTAGACAGACATTGCTATTTAATTAGCTAATTAATTAGATTGACTAATTAATTAGAAAGCCCTGATGTATTAGCTATTAATAGCTGCTACAATTAAGCTAAAATAATATCAACTAATAATGCGTTTAACTCCAAATTTCTAAAGTGGCATCAGTTGCAATAACTTCTGAGATACTTGAATGCAACTTTTCATACGTGTACATATTTGTATGTAAATTGACTTCAAAGTTTTTAAGTTAATTGAGGTTAATTAAAGTTAATTTGTGGTCCTACAAAACATTGACGATTAAAAATAACAGTTTATTTTTGTCATTTCTCCCAACTACAAAATTGCAAAACTAATTTTGTATGTATAGTTAAAAGTTTTGTCGTATAAATCATTGACTTTAATTAAATACAATTATTTATTTAACGACTGCATAATATGAAAAGTTGCATTTACCTCAAAGCTCATTACATTATGTAATCCTGTTATGGAAATTTATTTTTGCATACATTCCATACCTATTGATAGAGTGGTGCTAAAAAATCAATTCCATGCTTATTTATTCTACGTAATTCTTATTTGACTTTTTTTAACGCGATCAATATCCTGAACGTACCCCTCGTCAATCCCTGAAAATACTTCAACACGGTGACATATCTTATCCGAAAAACACCCGGATATCCGATATACATTGGTTTACACGATTTTCTAAACTTCCCCATCAATTTCCCCTCCCACGCATTCCTTACCCCCAAAGCCTTCCAAGACTTTAACACCTTCACCGAATTATCGTGAAACCATCCGTTCAAATTCAAAAACAAGAACTAGAGGTGAGCTGGATCGTCATTTTTTGAGATCCAATCCATCCAAATCCATTTAGCCCAAAAAATTTCAGATCCAATCCATCCAAATCCGTTTGGCCCAAAAAAATTTCAGATCCAATCCATCCAAATCCATTTGGCCCAAAAAATATCAGATCCAATTCATCCAAATCCAGTTGGATCGGATCAGGGCATGGATTATCCAAAGAATTATATATATAAACTCATGGTTAGTGTTCGGGATAAATCTGATTGGACTGTATATGTGTCACAGTGTGTTCCATGCAACAAAAGTAGGGCCCAGTTAATGTTAGGATGAGATCGGAGTGTTAAAAAGAACACTTCCTGATATTCTTTATGGTGACGAAATTTATCCAATTCGACCAAATCCAATCCACCCAGATCCAGTTCATCCAAATCCATTTCACCCAAAAAATTTGAGATCCAATCCATCCAAATCCATTTGGCCCAAAAAATTTCAGATCCAATCCATCCAAATCCATTTGGCCCAAAAAATTTCAGATCCAATCCATCCAAATCCAGTTGGATTGGATCGGGCCATGCATTATCCAAAAAAATGGATATCCAGCTCACCTCTAACAAGAACCACGTTACCTGAGGAGGGGAGCTTCCGAGGTTGATAATAACAGATCTGCTTGAAATTTTTACCAATGATACTTTGGGATGAGTGAACCTTAACCCTTGAAGCTTTTGATGCCATGGCCATAAAGAGCTGAGAAATTAATTTCGAAAGTTTCAAATTTTCGGGTAGGGAAATGTATCAGATTATTGGGCACCTGTCCGCAAGATATCTCCAGAATAGATTAATATTTTTGAAAACTGTTTTGGGCTATCCATTTCTAATTTTCGGGGATGGACGAGTTCGGTCATGGAGTCAGTCGGACCACCCCCACTTAGCGCCAGGGGGTGTGGTCTACTACCTTTTTGGAATTATTTTTTCTCTTTTCGCATGGATGGCACCCCATGGCACCCTATATTATAAAAAATTATGTAAAAAATTATTAAGGACATGTGAAGGTCTTCACATGTCCTTTTTCTTATAATATTTCCCAAATCAATTTTAATTAGTCTCTAGATATTTGATTTATTGGATTGTAGCAAATTTACCATGCAGAATAAAGATTTGAGGATTTCTTGGTGAGTTAAGTTGTTCAACCGAATTTTTAGATTTTTGTACTTTTGGCAATGGGTAGTTTTTCAAAGGCTAATGATATTAGTTATTCAAGTATTACCATTCCTCGGAAAGTGTAGGGTAGCGAGATTTAGCCTGGTTCAGATTTCATACGAAAACTATGCGATTTCCTTCAAATTCTTTGTATAAGTTAGTATTTTTTTAATTGATTGTCCTATAACAAATTTGAACTGCATTTGGGTTTAAAATATTTTTGATCACTCCGCAATCCTAACATCTTTCAGACTTTTGCATTTCCACTTAAATCCATCCCATGCATTGGATACTACTAGGATACTCAATTCCTTGCGCATGGGAAAAGGCTTCACATTTGGTATCGTCTTGGAAAAATAACTGCACGACAAAACTCAAAGATGTTAAAACTATAAACAAAAAACGGGCGGAAAATCCATTGGGAGCTACTTTCTAGGCACCCTCTAGCAAACTCATTTCTTTGAACTTTCGAATAATTTTCTCGATAGATTCCTTTGGTCAGAAAATCTTTAAAAATATCCAAAATTTCAAAAAAGTTGAGTTTGCTATTGGATATGATAGGTAAACTATGTGCGATCACAAAAATGTAAAGTTCATCTAAATCTGAGCAAAACTCGATTTTTTGGGATGGTTTTAGTGGGGAAACTCTGGGGGTTTTGGCGCCTTTGAGGGGGTGTGGTGGGTGTAAATGGGCTCATGGAGTCTAACCCTCCTTCACTTTTTGCAGTCATATAGTACTACAGCATTTCCAAAGGAGATTGAAAGCTGAAATTGACAACATGTGACACCCTACTTCTGAGAAAAATGATGTGTCGCATGACACAGTTGCACAAAAATCGAAAAGTCGCGGTTGACCACACCCAATGGGGGTGTGGTTGATAAGTTTTTAGTGATCAGTCGAAACCTGTCGTCGCACTGACAAAAATGATATGTCGCATGACACAGTTACGCTTAAATGGGAAAAGTCGCTGAGGACCGCACCCAATGGGGGTGTGGTTGATAAATTGTTCGTATCAGTCGAATCCTCTCGTCGCACTGAGAAAAATGATATATCACATGACCTGGTTTCGTTGAAATCGAAAAGTCGCAGACGACCACACCCACTGGGGGTGTGGTTTCTAAATTTGAGGTATTCCGTCGAGACCCCCTCGTCAAGCTGAAAAGAATGACATATCGCACGACATGGTTCGGTTGAGTTTGAAAGTAACTGAGAACCACACCCACTGGGGGTGTGGTTCGGAAATTTTAAGTATTCAGTGGTAATGTCCTCATCGAGCTGAGAAAAATGATATGGCGCAACCTATGTTTTCGTTAAAATTGAAAAGGCGCCGAGGGCCACACCCACTGGGGGTGGGGCATGTGACCACTTGAACATTTTTTACAGTGGCCAGGGGGTCGACGTAGTTTTTCGACATGCAATTCGATTTTTGTGCTCTAGAATTCCGCTGTATTAATTAATTGTAATTTGCTTATTTTTTGAAATTGTGACCTTAATTTCTAGGGGGTGTGGTCGAATTTCAAAAATCTGGGAATATATATTTCGACAATGGGTCTGACCTTTAAAAAACAGTCGAAATTTTTAAAATTGACCAACAATTCAAAAAGTAATAAGAATTTCAATTTTCAATGTTATTAAGCATTACAAGATCGGCCAATCAGCCTCTGCACAAGAAATGGGGTGCCATCCATGCGAAAAGAGAAAAAATAATTCCAAAAAGGTAGTAGACCACACCCCCTGGCGCTAAGTGGGGGTGGTCCGACTGACTCCATGACCGAACTCGTCCATCCCCGAAAATTAGAAATGGATAGCCCAAAACAGTTTTCAAAAATATTAATCTATTCTGGAGATATCTTGCGGACAGGTGCCCAATAATCTGATACATTTCCCTACCCGAAAATTTGAAACTTTCGAAATTAATTTCTCAGCTCTTTATGGCCATGGCATCAAAAGCTTCAAGGGTTAAGGTTCACTCATCCCAAAGTATCATTGGTAAAAATTTCAAGCAGATCTGTTATTATCAACCTCGGAAGCTCCCCTCCTCAGGTAACGTGGTTCTTGTTAGAGGTGAGCTGGATATCCATTTTTTTGGATAATGCATGGCCCGATCCAATCCAACTGGATTTGGATGGATTGGA